ATTTTAATAATTAGAAACACAGAAATGATAGGGAACAAAAGGAGCAAAATTGACAGAACCTATAAGATTACTAATCAAAACTATAGATCAAAATTGTCAATCATCTTGAAAGCATTTTTTAAAAGAAGAGCCCCAAAGTTAAAATTCTCATAGTTGATTTCATAATGAGCAGCAGATAGCACAGGCAGTCCCTGTCACTCTACCATCAACACATAGGGACTCCGGAGTCACTGCGCTCACTGGCATCATTTCTTCTGAATGGAGAACAACTACACTTTGAAAATGGCCCAAAGCAATATGCTTGAAATTTTAAGATATTTCATCTGCAGAGAAAATCGTGAAAAAATGTCCCGATCCCGGACAGCAGAGAGCACTGTAGAGGAACATAGAGATTCAAATATCAAATGTGTACAATAACATGAGCAAAGGAACACTTTTTCTTTGAGAGAAGAAAAAAGGAATGGGGAAGACACCCCTGAAAAAAGAGGTTTGTGAGTACAAGAGTGGGAACACCAAGATGGAAATAAAATTAAATTTATGTCAATCAAAACTTACTTGAGAACAGCTGAAATGTGAGTAGTGAAAAGAAATGTGTTAAAAGCACTTACCAACTTATGCTGGAGAGGATGGAGAAGGGGAACACTCCTACTCTGCTGGTGGGAGTGCAAACTTGGACAGCCATTTTGGAGATCAGTATGGCAGTTCCTCAGGAAAATGGGAATTAGTTTACCTCAGGTCCCGGCAATCCCACTGTTAGGCACATACCCAAATGATCCGCATCCATGCAACAAAGACATCTGTTCAACTATGTTCATAGCAGCAGTATTTGTAATAGCAAGAACCTGGAAGCAACCTAGATGCCCCTCAACTGAAGAATAGATAAAGATGTGGCATATTTACACAATGGAATACTACTCTTCGGGAAACAAAACAAAACAAAACAAAACAAAACAAAAAAACCAAACCAAGCCCAAAAAAAAAAAAAAAAAAATCTAGGGTATCTTGAAATTCTCAGGCAAATGGATGAAACTTGAAGAAACCATCCTGAATGAGAGTAACTCAAAAAGAGCAACATAGTATGTACTCACTCAATATGGATTTTAGACATAGAACAAAGGATCAGTAGCCTATAATTCACATCTCCAGAGAAACTAGGATACAAGGAGTATTCTAAAAAGATTCATTCAAGATCCCTCACAGAAGAGGAAAGGAAAAATCTCTTGAGCATATGGGGGGTGGGGGGGCGTGAGTGGAAAGGGGGCTAAGAGAAAGAGAAAGGGAGGAGAGGAAAGCACATGGGACTAGGAAGATTGAGTCAGAGGAAGAACATACAAGAGGAGAGAGAGAACAAAAAGATGGAGCCATTCCAGGCTTGAAGAGAAAACTGAACCTAGAGAAATGTCCATAAACCTACAAGACTGACCCCCAACTAACAATTTGAGCAACAGTGGAAGGCTGCCGTAAATGCCCTTACCTGATAATGAGATTGATTACTAACACCCCACCATCTTTAGCCCTTTTCTAGTAGCTGATGGAAACAGAATCAAACACCCACAACTAAACACTGAGCAGAACTGGAATCCAGATGCAGAGAGGGAGGACAAGACCAGGCTACAGAAACCCAACAGAGACAGCTGACTTGAACAAGGGGAAGCTAATGGAGACCCATTTGATAACTGGAAAATCAGCATTGGGCAAACTCTGACCCCCTGAATGTGGGTCTCAGTTAGAACCCTGGGCAGTCTAAGGGACCCTCAGACAGTAGAACCAGGATTGTCCCTGAGTGCACAAAAGAACTTTGGGAGCACATTTCCCACGGGAGAGATACTCCATTAACCTAAAGGCAGGAGGGAGGGCCTAAGTACCTGCTCCAAATGACTTGACAGATTTAGTTGACTCCTCCAGGAAGGCATCACCCTACCTGTGGAGTGGGAGGGATAGGATGGAGGGGTGGACAGGAGTGGGGGGCATGGGAAGGTGGAAGAGAGGGAGAGGGAGAGATGGAGAGGAAACTTGGATCAGTATGTAAAATAAGAAAAATAAATTTTAAAAATGAAAACAAAGCACTTATTGCATGAAAGGACCTATTTTACTTGTAAAATCAATGTTCTGCTCAAGAGCATAACTAAGAAATGGAAAAAATAGCAGCAATCACCAAATTTCCATCATTATATAAATGCTTTTGTTCTTTTGAATTGCATTGTAAAGAATTAAAGGAGGTAAAAAGGAACCGGATTCTGCAGCAACCAGAAAAGAAAAATCCAAGAGAACATCTATTGGAAAAAAGAACTGTCTACCACAGTTATAAGGATGGAAGACATTGGTCCCAATGTAATTCAGCAGCTCATATAGAGCTCATTTATGAACCTAGGGTTTGTAATGTTTTTTGCTGACTGAAGTCATCATTCTAGTCACTTACAATTTGTTTTGTTTTGTTCTGTTTTTTTTTTTTTTTTTTTGGAGGGGAGTTTTGACAAGCCTCATTACACTCTATGGAAATTTTGGCAAACTATTCTCCCTTAGACTTCCCATCTGGGCCCCAGAATTCAAGATGAAAACAAGCTTCAAAAGACATTTGGGACCTTCTTGAATCACAGGTCCCATGATTTCATCTAAGAGGACAGACAGCAAGACCCAAGGGATGACTCATCTTGAATTGACCTGCCCCAGAGTTCTTTACCACAAAATGTTGAATCAGGATGATGCAAGGTCCTCACAGGGAGGATGCCAAGGGACAGGAAAACACCCTGAAATAGTTCCAACCAGGTTGGCCCAGTGAAAATCAGTAGGAAACCTTGCTCCTTAAAACTTATTATTGCTTATGTCAATCTAACTTGAAGAGTCTAAAAACATTTTATGTAAAAACCTTGCTTGTCTGCACACCAATATTTCTTTCATGTCTCTCTGTAGTACAAAATATTTTCTTTCTCATTCCTAAAGAACTGGCGTGATAATTTATGGATTCCAAATCAATGGCTCAATCCATGATGAGATGAGATTCTTTTTATTTTGAAGCCTAACCTACTGGGCTATTGTGTCACAAATCACCCATTTAATATAAGATCCTGATCCCTCCTATATCCAGACAATGAGATTTCCAGGCACTTTATATGCTTTTCTTCTACTATGAACTATTGAAAACTCCCCTTACATTTTCCTCAAATAAAATAAATAAGGGCTTATATACTCCACACATGACTATTAAATGTTCATTCAGAATCCTTTTAATAAAGTTATTCTGAAGAACTGAAAGTGTCATTACAGTACATTTAGGGTTTGAACAATTTCACAAGTGCACAAATAACTAAATCTCAGCCACAGTTTTACATAAGCTCCATTTTATTTGTTTACCTACTCTAAGTGGCAAAGTTGAGTATATCAGATAGCTTCTAAATCAGAGCACCAACCCACACATCCACTATACATCTCTCCTGTGTATAAGGAGAAACTTCTGAACCACAAAATTCCACTTAATGACTATCACAGAGGTCTTCTGATTCTTTTTCTTGATAGAGTGGCTCAAGTCTTATTTCTCCCAGATGTTTCTGTTAGGTAATTAATCTCTGCACCTGTGACTCTGATTAAAAATGGGTTATTTTATGAGGTGATCAATATGGATAAGGTCTTATTTTTGGACCTGATGATGTTGGAAAAGATAGATCACCATGAATGAAAACATGGAAACCAGGACTGATAGTTTGCACAATATGACTCTCCAGAAAAAGCTAGCCACTGTTTTTTCATTTTTTTAAAATTTTATTCATCATTTATTTTATATAACCAAGTCCATTTAATGAAAACAAACATTTATAGACAATATTTGGGAATTGGGTGTAGTTCTTTCCATACTACTTCCTGCTGGTAAGGGGCGCTGTCATGGGGGATTCTAAGAAAATGCAGAAATCCTAACTGTAATCTGTAAAACTGCTTTGTCCGCCTGTTTGAATGTAGAATCACCTGGTACTCTGAATCAGGTGGTCTGGCTTGATCAAACCATATTAGTCTGGAGGAATCCACATCTTTCCATTTTCTGTGCGAAACAAGAATAGAAATCCTTTTCCCCAGTAACTTGTCCTTGAACTTAAATTTTGGAGTCAAAGCATTTTTTTATTTAATTTATTATTTTACATGTCCATCCTCAGAGTCCTTCATCTCCCACTCCCTCCCTCCCTCCCTCCCCTCTCTCCTTCTCTACCACCTTCTCCTTTATTACCTTTCCCTCTTGCCCCTCTCTGTTGCTCTAACCACCCTCCCTCCCATCCCCCACCCAATTCCATATGTAGGGGAATGCCATCCAGTTGTGGTCATGTAGATCTGACAGGTCATGTGAAGTAGGGACTAGGGCCTCTCCCTGTCTCTAGATTAAGGCAGTTATTCCTCCATGGGGGGGATGTGTTGGCATCCCTTTGTGCATCAGGCATACATCCTGGCTCACATTGTCTGAGGTCCTTAGACTGCTCAGTCCTTCTGGCTGAGACCCATATTCAGGGGGGCCTGAGTCAGTCCCATGCTGGCCTCCCAGCTATCCAGTCTAGTGTTTTTATTATAAGATAAATTTGTCTTCATTGTTCTCTAGTAATCTTTTGGCGAAGTAATTCCTTTATGTCAAATTCATATTCATTATAAAAACGTGCTTTCCTTCATGCAAACTTACATGAAATGTAAGTACAGGAATCCAGAAAACATACCACCAGCAATAAAAACAAGCGGATAAACAGGAAAACTTTTAGTAATATAAATGCAGAATTATGCAATGTTGAAGAAGTGAAGAATGGCTACATATCTCATTAATCTTTTCTTTAATATTATTTGAGAGATACAATGAATATTCGTGAAAGTCAGCTTCCCAATTAGAGAAATAAGTAAAGATGAGGAAATAAAAACGGATTTATTACTAAATAAATCTAATAAATATAAAATCTTTAATTGCTATATTATCTCTGTCAATTATATAGGCTTGAAGGCATCTATATAATTTAGAAAAACATGGACTAAGCTTACTAATCAACTTTTTCTTCTAGGTGTCTTTGGTTCTTGACATACTTAGGCACATCCCTATGTGGTCTAAACAAAATAATATAGCACTTGGAGACAAAGATGCAACCTAGGAGGCCTGCACTGGAAGCCAGGATGGAAAAGACTTCCATGGCCATCACAAGTTTCCCCCTTGGTGCTGTGGTGGGCAGGAAGAAGAAGTGACCCAAACACTGAAATAAACCAACATGCTGAAAGAGAAGAATTTGGCTTCATTGAATGTGTCAGGCAGGTTCCTGGACAGGTAAGCCATGGTGTAGCTACCAAGTACCAGAGAGCAGAATTATCCCAGACCAGAGTGGAAGGCAATAGTGGAATTGCCCTTGTTGCATATAATAATTATGTGTCCATGTTCAGTGTGAGCATCTGAGTCAACAAAGGAGGAGGCGCTTAGCCAAATTCCACAGAGCACAAGTTGGATAAGGGTACAGATGGGAATGATGAAATTAGGAGCCCTTGATATCATTATCCACCTTATCAGTCTCCCTGGAATTGTGATCTGGAAAGCCAGAACCACAGTTACAGTTTTGGCCAAGACTGTGGAGAAAGCCACTGTGAACAGAACTGCAAATGTGCTCTGCTGCAGGACACAGGTGGCTGTGTTGGGACGGCCAATGAAGAGCAAGGGACAGAGAAAACAGAAGGTCAGAGTGATGAGCAGGATGTAAGTGAGAGACCGATTGTTGGCCTTACGATGGGGTGTGGTGGTACTTCACCAAGACACCAAGAACAACAGCTGTCAGTGCAGAGAAGCCCAGGGCCAAGGAGGTGAGTGCCATCCCCAAAGGGTCTTCATGGGACAAAAAGGTCACTGCTTTCTGGAGGCAGTGGCTCTGCTCTGTGTTTGCATAGTGACTTTCTGGACACCTCACACAATGATCCATATTTACTCGGGAATTAAAGTTATTGTGAGTCTCTGCTCAGGAAGCCACTTTGCATTACCAGCTCTCTGGCGTTGCCCACATTTCCTTTTTTGTTTCAGACTCAGTAAATCAGTGCTCAATAGTGCAAATTCCCAAATGCTCTCCAATTAATCATTCTAGATTGATCTTTTTTATAGGACATAAAATTAACCAGTCTATTTTATATTAGTGTGCTTAAATACATCTTCAATTAAGTAATAATTTAATATTTATATTATACTTACAAATTACCAATTTAATTTCTATAATCTAATATATGATCATAAGATCACCTCATTCTGATTTCCCTTGTGTGACTTTGTCCTGTGAGTTCGATATAAGGGTTTGTAATTTTAGGATTTTCTTGTAATATTCTCAGGTATCACACCCAAATCTATCTATTTCTATAGTTTTTATTGAATGAATTCTCCTGCATTTTCCTTCTCTGATAGTGTGGGAATGAGAACTATTAAATTCTTCAAAGCTTGAAAAACTTCTTTTTGTGAAACTGATTAGTCACTTCCAGGGGAGAAATGATCAACTTAACAGATAGCTATAAAACTCTTATTTAGTTGTAGTTGATCATGGAGTAATTATGTGATACTTTATTACTTTAAATTTTAGATTTTCATCTTCAATTCAAAAGTTATAAATAACTATATTAATACCATATTTTCATCCAATTAAAAATATTCAGTATTTTTGCAAAGTAGACATTTAAATTTGGTTTTTGTTGATAATTTGCATTAATCATTTTGTTACTGCCTACTGTCATTTATTACCATTATCAGCATTTTATTTGTTATTTACTCATAATACCCTGTCACTCTCAAGGCAATCCTGTCTCTTCTATTTTATCTGTGTTTACTTCTGTAGTTTAACTGAGCATGAATGCTTCAGAATCATAATCGCTAGAATTCTTATTAAAAGCACAGGCTGCATATGTCATGACAAATACTTTTTTATCAATTGAAAATAATATAAAGATATTCACATGTCATCCTATATGTTTTGCAGTATGAGACTACTGTTTTGAAATATTTGGTATTCATATTTTAATTTCTTTTTCTTACTAAATAAATTTTGAAATGTCTCCTTAAACTTCAACCATGCAGTGTTTTGATATTGATGATTATTGATGGTTCTAGTTACCCCTAGTGAATATATTTAACATGAACATAGCATGGCTCAATATGGACAAAGTCTCTATATGCACATTAAGTCTTTGGCTATGTGTATAGGAGGTCTCAATATGCACATTTTAAAATTAGGCAAATTAAACTCACAGAACTTTAAACTTTCTCTCCTTATGAAGTAATGTTATCACATCTGAGTGTTCAGGGAAGCCATATATTTGTTGAAAACAATCCAATTAATATATAAGAAGAATCTCCTTAGACATTAATATTAGGTTAAGGAATCCTCTTTGATTTTCTCTCAATATTCAATATTTTGTCTAAGTGTGCTCCCTTCAATTCGCTTTTTCAATTGTCTCATGCCTACTTTCTATTCCTTAGATATATTTTGACATAATATTTTTTTGTGGAATATTAGATGAGTATGTGTTACATTTGTTTATACTGTGGAACATTTGTTTCATGATACAAAGGTATGTTGCATTCTTTTATGGTATGAGTAGAGTATTCCTTTTCATCTCTAAAATACTGATTGGTCTAATAAAGTGTTGAATGGCCAATAGCAGAAAGAGAATGGTTAGAGAGGGCTTTCAGGTAGAAAGAATAATTAGGAGAAGAAATCTTGGAGACAAGAACCAAGGAGCAGTCTCCGGTCCCCTTTGAGAGCACCCTTGGAGCTCTGATACACCCCCATCCCAACCTCCAGCCTACCCCCCCCCCACCCTGTGCCCTACCCCCACCTACGGTCCTGCCGCTCTGGTTGAGCACTGGGACAGAGGGTGGAGCCAACAGTCCACCTACTTCGGAGACCTCTCGGAGCAACTCCGAACAAAGGAGACCTGACTATCCACGTGGGACCACCTGTAATTTCCACCGGCTTGGTCCCTGACCCCGCCTACAGTCCTCTGCTGGAGTCCCAGGCCCCTCCCAGAGATCCGCCTATCTGCGGGTCCACTTGGAGTTCCTGCAGGCAAGAGCAGCAACAGCCCCAAATCCGGGCCCCTGCCAAAGAACGAGGTCTCAGCTGGAGAGCGCCAGTTTCCAGTGAGATCCCACTACCCTGCAAGCCTTCTCAAGTTCCAGTCCAGCCCTTGTCCTCTTCTGCACGGCTATTGGCCAGAGAGAAGCCTCCTAGAAGGCTTGGACCACACAGAGAGATACAGACATTGAATCTTTGATCCACATAAGCCCATCTGGGAAGGACAATAGAGAGGAAGAAGAGACATACACCAACACCTACAGGAAGAAACTATGGGAAGAGGCAATGCAAGAGAACACCTAACAACAGAAAGACAAACACTGACACCACCAGAATCTAGGGAATCTACCAACTAGAATGGAACACAACAACAAAGCAGAGGAAGCAGAAAATTACGACTTAAAAATCACCATCACAAAAATGATAGAGGCCCTCAAAGAAGATATGAGAAAATCCCTTAAAGAAATAGAGGAAAAACAAACAAAAAGTGGAAGAAATGAACAAATTCCTTAAAGGAAAGTACAGAAAGCCAAGAAAAAACAATTAACCAGGTGAAGGAAACGGTTCAAAATTTGAAAACCGAAATTGAAAATAAAGGCAACACAAATGGAAGGAAAGCTGGAAATTGAAAAGCTGGGCAAAAAATCGGAAACCACGGACACAAGCATAACCAGTGGAATTCAGAGATGGAGGAGTCTCGAAAATAGAAGATAAACTAGAAGAAATAGATTCATCGACCAAAGAAAACCATAAATCTAACAAATTTAACACTAATATCCAGAAGTGTGGAGAGGAAGAACATGAAGGAGCTGAACTAGAACCAATAGGCATAAGAGAAAAACCAAGAAACTACAGCTCAAAAATGCTCAAAACATATTAACAAATAAACAGGAAAACTGCGTCTGAAGAACTGATATGGCCATGAAAGCCACAAGAGCATCTCGAACCTAAATAGGCTGGATAAAGACCTCGTTATTCAATAAATCCAAAACACAGCATTTGAATAGAGAAAAATAACAAGAGCAGCAGCTACGGAAAAGGGATTGAACTAACATATAAAAGGCAGACCTATAAATACCAATACTACTGAAACCTCAAGGCCAGAAGGTCCTGGACAGATGTTCTAAAAAGTGTTAAGAGAACACGGATGCCAGCCTAGGCTACTATATCCAGCAAAACTCTCAGTCAATATAGATGGAAAGAACAAGATATTCAATGACAAAACCAGATTTTCCCCCAATATGTATCTACAAATCCAGCCCTACAGAAAGTATTGGAAGGGAAAATTCCAACCCAAGGAAGGTAACTACGCCCACAAAAATGTAGGCAACAGATAATCCAACTACACAAGAAACCTAGGGTGAAGCAGAACAAATATATTCACAATACCACTGCCAACAACAAACCTAAATCAAACAACCTTCAACAATCAATGGTCCTTACTCACCCTCAACATTAATGGTCTTAACTCACCTATAAAAAGACACAGATTAACAGAATGGATACGAAGCCAGAATCCATCCTTCTGCTCATACAAACACATCTTAGCTCCAAAGATAGACATTACCTCAGGGTAAAGGTTGGGAAAAGATTTTCCAATCAAATGGAAATAAGAAGCAAGCAGGCGTAGCTATCCTAATATCTAACAAGCTAGACTTCAAACCAAAACTAGTCAAAAGAGATGAAGACGGTCATTTCATATTCATCTCAGGAGAAATCCATCAACACAAAGTCTCAATTCTGAACATCTATGCCCCTAATACAAAGCCACCCACATTCGTAAAAGAAACTCTACTAAAACTCAAAGCCCATATAAAACCTCACACACTTATAGTGGGAGACTTCAATACACCACTCTCAACACTAGACAGGACCACAAATCAGAAACTCAACAAAGAAACAAAAAGAATTAACAGAAGTTATGTCTCAACTGGGGCTAACAGACATCTATAGAACATTCCATCCAAAGACAAAAGAATATACCTTCTTCTCTGCTCCACATGGAACCTTCTCTAAAATCGACCACATACTAGGAGACATAACAAACCTCAACAGATACAAGAGAATAGAAATAGTCCCCTGTATCTTATCGGACCACCATGCTTTAAAATTGGAATTCAACAACAATACAAATAGCAGAAAACCTGCAAACTCATGGAAACTTAACAATGTGCAATTGCACCACTCCTGGGTCAAAGAAGAAATAAAGAAAGAAATTAAAGACTTTCTAATATTCAACGAGAATGAGGATACAACATACCTGAACTTATGGGACACCTTGAAAGCAGTGCTACGAGGGAAGTTCATTGCACTAAGTGCCCATATGAAGAAAACAGAGGATAGTCACATAAATGAATTAACAGCGCAACTGAAAACCTTAGAACAGAGAGAAAGCGAATTCACCCCGCAGGAGCAGAGCCCAGGAAATAATCAACTTGAGGGCTGAAATCAACAAAATAGAAACCAGGAAAACAATACAAAAAATCAATGCAACAAAGAGTTGGTTTTTGAGAAAATCAACAAGATTGATAAACCTTTATCCAAATTAATGAAAAAGCAGAGACAGAACATGCAAATTAACAAAATCAGAAACGAAATGGGGGAACATAACAACAGACACAGAGGAAATCCAGACAATTTTCAGGTCATACTTCGAAAATCTGTATTCCACAAAAATTGAAAATTCAAAGGAAATGGACAAGTTTCTGGATAACTATCACTTACCAAAATTAAATCAAGAACAGAGAAACAACTTAAATAGACCTATAACCCGAAATGAAATAGAAGCAGTCATCGAAAGCCTTCCAACGAAAAAAAGTCCAGGGCCAGATGGATTCAGTGCAGAATTCTACCAGACATTCAAGGAAGAACT